ATCAGATAAGGTGTTGGGGGCCGCAGAGTACAGGGTTCTAAAAGGGCATGGAGGGGGGAGAGAGTTGGGATTTACATGCCCCTTTGGTCTTAGTGTAGGTAGGCTCCAGCTGCCTGAATTTTGGTCATATGACCTCAGGTGCATTGCAACAGTATAACTTTGGGGACTGATCATGTCCCTCTGTTCAATATTAACTTATAATTGTTTTTAGACAAATGATCATAAGTCAAAGACTACCTGTAGTATCCAATTCACAACAGTTTAGCATGCAGTTTATTTTGACAGTATCACATAAGTAATTGTTAAACATAATAGTAGCTGAGCCTATATTTATAAATGCTTATAAATATATTTATAAATGCTTATAAATATAAATATTTATAATATATAAATGCTTGCTCCTCTCCAGTGAAGATAGTTGCTCTTAGGACTGGACATCCTAGTTCGAGATGACAAACTGGGATGTCCAAGTTCAATGTTCAGGTCTGTGTAGCCGCAAGATCCTCAGTAGCAGATTTCTATACTTGGTAGAAATCAGTGACATGTCCTTATGCTTGGTAATGCTTCATTGTATTTTTGTTAGATAATTCTAACAAATCTTAGTTTTCTTCTCCAATTTTCTGCTTTGTCAGAATTAAGGCATTTCAGACAAGGGGGATGTCCAAAAGAGGGCTTGCCATAGAAAATTTATATACAATATAATCAAATACCACAAATTAGAAATCAAGGCTATAATAAAGGATTTGCTGAAAATTCATCATTTCTAGATGGAAGTGATGGAAAGCAGACATAACCATCTGGAAATGCCAGGCCAGGCCTAGGGCTGATAAGAATCTATTAACTCCTTGCTCCACTCACGTTTGCTTAGATGCTATCATGCAAGTTAAGCAATTAAGTATGTGAAGTTAAAATCTGACACATAGATGTTTTGTGGTTTCGGAATGAAGGATATGATGATAAATGCTTATGAAAATAAGTGAGTCATAACAAGTTAGTAAGGCTTAAAGCTGATCATGTGTATTCTAAAATAAATCATATAGAGTGGTAGAATTTACTCCTAGGTAAGTGTGCACAGGATTACAACTTTAGCTTTGAATTTGAGAATTGGAATGCAAAACAGATAATTATTATTTTTTATTAATTTACTTAGTTTAGATGAATGAGTGGCTTTATCCATTGTTAAATTTTCTAAGACTGAATAGTTCTTGGCAAATTTATTTTTTCCAATTAGATATAGACATAGAAGGGGTGTATGCTTCTTTCAAGAATGGTTGGCAATAGTCATTTTAACAACTTGTGTGATTGCTAGAGAAGGAAATGTGAATAAGCGAGCTGGTGAAAGAGGGATATTCATGAGTTTTCCTGCCATTGCATTTTGTAAATGGCATTTTTAAAAAGCTGAAGTTTATTGCCTGCATTTTCATGTTGGGGTAGATGCTTCTTTTTCACTATAGCATGCAGGATAATTTAGCTATTAATCTCTTGAGACAAGAAAATAAATCGGGACAATTGCTTTTTGGCTTATGTACCATGTTGATTATTCAGTTTGTAGTCTGGGGTTCCTAACCATTGGCAAACTCAGAGGAAGTAGAAATAATATTTCTGTTTATTTTGGAGTTCTTTCTTTTTCTGTGCCGCATAGTTAAGAAGCTTTTCTCAGCATTAGCTCCAATTGTTTTAAATAAAAATTGGATGATAGTTATGGTTAGAGAATTGGTAATAGTGCGTTCTTTGTTCTGGCTAGTGGAAGTGTTTAATAAGTTAGAAGTGGTTGGGTGAATGTTAATATTTGAAATATAAGGAGAAGGTAAAAGACTATTTGTTGTACATGAAACTGAGTAGATAAAATACATCTACCATAAGTTTAAATGACTTCCTTTGATTAATTGGTTTTTCCGTAATTTCTAAGATGTGCTTTAGACAGTATCTTGAATAGTAGTGTTTAGTTTACAGTGAATAATCTGAGTAGCATGCGCAAGCACATACTGACTTAATACAATTAGGTTCCTTGGATATTCATGTAAAAACTCCAAAAAATCCTCTGCCTTTAAAAGTTAATCAGATTAGTAGTTTATTTAGATACAGGTGGTCTTCGATTTACAACAGTTCACTTAGCGATTGTTCAAAGTTTCAACACCGGAAAAAGTGAGTTATGACCAGTTTTCATACTTACAACCATTATAGCATCCCCATGCTCACATGATCAAAATTGATACGTTTGGCACCTGACCACTATTTATGGTGGTTTCAGGGTCCTGGAGTCCTGTGATCACCTTTTGCAACTTTCTAACAAGCAAAGTCAATGGGGAAGTCCGATTCACTTAACCACCATGTTACTAATTTAAGAACTGCAGTGATTCACTTAACAACTGTGGCAAGAAAGGTCGTAAAATGGGGCAAAACTCACTTAACAAATTCTCACTTAGCAAGATAAATTATGGGTTCAGTTGTGGTCATAAGTCCAAGACTACCTGAATGTAAATCTAGTCCATGGTTGGTAGGAATCAACATCAACCTGATGACACATAATCAGCCAATACAGGTTTTGTTGTAATGTAATCATATTCTCTTGCAAGTTTTATTGTGATGTATGCCCATAATCCATATTAAAGCTTAAATATATAGCCATATGTTATGAATTATAGTTAAAAACTACACAGAGTAAGCAATAACTCCTCTTAAGTTAGAAATTTGAAATTCTGTGAGCTTGCTCTTCATATTTGGTTACTTTAGGTAAAAGTCCTCCTGAAGTGATTTCTCCAAACACATCTGATGAATGTATAAACTGGTCTAAAATATTAATGTGCAGAAATGCTGTTAGTAAGGTAAATCAGCTAATATATAGCTTTGTACTCTGAGAAGAATTAAAACATAAATGTTTAACAAACCAGAAATATATATCCTGTATATACCTAAATATACTTCAAGTAAGTAAATATAACTAATTTCTTTAGTGTAGAAATAAAAACCCCTAAGAGTCCTATTTTGCCAGTGCTAAGTCACTTGCAACAATAATTTTCTATAATAATGTATTACTTTCAGGTTATGTACCCTTTTCCAAGTAAAGACTAAATTATATGGAATTAGATTTAAAAACAACAGTAATTTATATCCAGTCTCTTATTTTGTTATATCTGACCAGAAATGGGTAAATGAATTGACAAGTAAACCAATCTGATTGGCAACTAGATAAAGCCATGATATATTTTATCACATGGTGTCATATCAGTTTGGCAAGTGACAAGCAAACCTGTTACCCTAGAAATCTTTTGTTTTCCTCTCCTGATCTTCCTCCTGCAGGAAGGAAGATATCCAGATATACTAGGCCATTTCTTACGGAGACTTTAAGAAGACACTAAGAAGACGGGGGTTGGGGGTGATAATATAAAGTCTCATGCTTTGTTTGAATGGTAAAAGTTTACTCTTAATGACAGGTATATCTTCTGCTATTGCTGCTTCAAAAGATTTGGTCATAGTGTTCAAAAGCTTTTTTCTTGCCCTCTAAAGAGGCTGTTCGCTGGCAAAATAAGGTGGATTGGACAGTAAAAATTGATTGTGGAAATGCTTTATTTTGACTCTGTGATATGATTTTTTTTAAAAAAAAAAAACCATCAATGCAGCCCACAGATCTTTAATGCTTTACAATTGTTTTTATATAAAAGTGATGTCTGCATGCATGATCAAATTGCAAAACTAATTTATTTTTTCTACATTGAGGAAGGCACTTTCTGTAAATTGAGAAAGGACACTGAACAAAAACACTTATTGGGAAATTTTAATTTGGTATGATGTCAGTTATGCAGCATTGTGAGTCACATTTTCTTGTGAAGTTTTATATTTTGGTTATTGGATAACTGCTCGGTTTCTTAATGGTAAATGCGTGTATTATCAAATTTGTAATACACAGTATTACAGCACTCAGAGGTCATATATTCCTCCTTAAAAGGGAAGATTTAAGTGTTGAAATTGCTTCCAGGGGAAAAATTCTGGCAATACTGCTGTTTGAAGAGCCAATTCAAAAATGGACAACATGTATTCATATGCATTCTACAGAAATCACGCTCTGCAAGACTTCAGCAGCAAACCATGGAAACATTTCTATTTTCTGGTGAATAAACAAAAACTGCTTATAAATTTTAATTTAGTTTTGACATACTGTACAAAGAAGATGAACCACCCTATTGTTCTCCCCCACCCCGCCTCTCACAAACACATGCACACATCCCATTAAAAAGAATAACCCCAAAATCCACATTCCTTTTATTGTAATGCATTTAAATTAGGGGAAAAATCTTCAGTGTGTACAAAAGCCTGCCAGATAAGTATTTGTGGGATGCAAACCTGCACATTTGATAGAACTGCATAAATTCAGATTTCATTGAAAGAATTTTAATGTTTTTGCATGGAATTAAATTTTTGAGTCATTTTCTTTTTTCTTAAGCAAGAAACACATTTCTGCTGAAATAATGACTACAGAAAAATGTGAGTATTCAGAGCAGCTTCTGATTTACCCTTTGGACCCATAGCTTAGAAGTTGAAATAGATCAACAGTTTGCTATTTTGAAAGAAAACGTTTAAGCAGGACTTTTTGCATTACAAGAGATATTAATTTTGTGACTATTTGGAATAATTTAGTGGAAAACAATATTACCATGCAATATCATTATAGATAATGTATCTGCTTTCCCATCAGTTTTACATGCTGACTCTCATCAGTGAGTTTCACTCTTTGGATTCAAAGGGAATTTTAAGGTGCCACATTCATCAAAAACTGGTGTTCCTAGATTGATTTCTGACATTGCTTTTTACTTGATAAAAGAACAAATTATTAAATATGCAAAATCAGGTTAGGCCCTTGATAGGATGGGAACTTTTTTTTAAGGGAAGAAGGACAAACACCTCAAGTTCTTTTTTAAACTGCCCTTACATTGACAATGATTATTGTGTTTGGTGGTTTGCCATACTTTTCATTTAAATTTTCCTCAATAATTGACAGTTGAGGTTTATGGCTAATATGCTTTTATATTGAGGATTAGGAATTGGGTGCCCTATCTTTTTTTTTTTTTTTTTGGCTAATATTACGGTATTTTAAAGGTTTTCACTGTGATGGCTTGAGTTGAATTTCTGGTGGCTTACAAGAGTGGTCTGCAGCTGTTAGACTCCAAAACAAGAAAGGTGCTTCAGAGAAGACAAGGTCATCTTTGCTGCACCTGTGGCTTCTCCTTAACAAAGGTACACCCTTTCATGCATCCTACACTACCCAGGAAATGATGTCATGGCTTTAAGGAGGCGCTATCAGATGCAATGAGTATGCCCACACCCCCTCCAAAATACCTTTTCTGCATCTGATCCAAAGAGCATCCATAAGTTACAACTTAGAGAAATACAGAGCTTCATGTCCTGAACAAATTATCACAGCATTTTATTGGGCTGGGTACTCCATTCTTGACACTTCAGTCTGAAAGGTAACTTAAGAACTGTAAAGAGGTAAGGTTTCTATGCCTAGATTTTTACGTTTCATTTATGCTTTAGAATTGATTATACTAGACTTCACAAGAGGACGATTTGTGTATGCTATAGGGAAAAAAGCAGGGCCACCTAATTATTGCTATAATAAAGGAATCAATTTTTCAAACCTTACTGTATGTAATTGCTAGAATTATTGCACACTAAATAGAGTATTTTCAAGAAAAAGGCAATATTAAAAAAGGAAATTACTTTAATATATATCATTTTGGTGACCAAGCCATCAAAATCTGTGTTTTAAAACTATTTTTGATGCTGCATATATCATCTTAAGGATGACTGTGAAACATCTTAAGGATGTCTGTGAAACTACATGTGCAAATATCCCTAGATAGGTATCTAAAAGTCTTCATTCAGATGGTATGTTGGTGAGCATTGAAAAGTGTGATCAGAAAATGTGTTTGCATTTCAGAGTCCTAGCAGTATTTTATTATTGTCTTTCTAGATTAATATTCTATACATTTCTCTATCTGGACTGTTCACAAATTAAGATAAATTTGCATTTAATTAATATTGCATAGTGAGGGCGTGTTTCAAGAGCATAACAATTTCTCTTTAAAATTGTTTTTCCGTTTTTATGTAAAAGTTACTTTTGTTTAAATAGGCTTGCTTAGGTGGCAGTTTTTATTCCATAACATTTAACAATTTGTTAGCTTTCATGTTTTATAATTTTTCCTTAAATTACAATCTTTGCATAGCAATAGCAGTAGCACATAGACTTATATACCATTTCATAGTGCTTCACGGCACTCTCTAAGCAGTTTACAGAGTCAGCATATTGGCCCCAACAATCTGGGTTCTCATTTTACCAACCTCGGAAGGATGGAAGCCTGAGTCAACCTTTAGCCAGTAAGAATCAAACTGCTGTCTGTCAGCAGAATTAGCCTGCAATACTGTATTCTAACCACTTCCCCATCATGGCCCTTCTGTTGGCTTAGCATCTATTGGCGACCATAAGGTATGTTTAATAAGTTCCAAAGCAATTCTGATTTTTTAATAATTAAATTAACTAGAGTTCAAATTGGCAACCTCAGGGCCATGATATTTTTGAATTTTCTATTTCATTAGTTCATTCAGAGTCATCTCTTCCACAGACATTGCTGTCCCTTTGGCCTTATTTAATCTTTGTGTTGCAGTAGGTGACTCTCAGATAAGAGACTTGCCCTGGGACAGGAGAGATTGTAAGGAAAGGAATCTGTCCTATTCCTTTACAGTTATCTTTCTATATCCTTCCTTTGCTGAGAATAACTTGTGCAGAATTCTTGATATCTGATCCTGTGCAGTACGATAAGGCAGACCAGAGTGATGCTACTAGTTTGATATTTTATCTTATACCATATTTAGAAATAGCTTTTACCTCAGTCATAGGGTGACCCCTGGAAGGGAGAAGCTTGAGCAATCCATGCAAGATTCCATTGACGTTAAACAGCCCTGGCAGAATTGTTCTTAATCCATTTTAATCTTACTGTTTGATTTTAGCCTAAATAAATACACATCAATGCATCTTCCTTCTTCCGCTTAAAACTTGGAGAATTCTCTATGCTAAGTCTAGTGGAGAAAGGATGGAACTTCTCATCTCTCCATCAGTCATCTTGGTAACTTTCTCTATGACCATACCGAAAAAGTAGAGGAGAGAAAAACTGTTTCTTTTGCCAAGCCACTTGGTCAAAATTATTGTTGTGTTTTCAATCTGTTTTTAAAAGCCAGAAGCGTACATTTTTCTGTAGGCCAGAGATAAGATTTCTTGTCTTTTCCAACTATTATGCAACCCAGGCTACTTACTTTCTAGTTCATATAATTTTGTAAAAGTACTTGCATGACTAATTTACATGTGGCATATAATTTAGATTGTCCTATGATGTCAAGCTTTTTTTTAGGCCACCAGAAGGAACAAGAAGCTAACATTTATGACCCATGAAATGTTATACTTATGCATGTACCTGCCTTAGATTTATTTCAAAGCCACTCATTGGATTTTTTTAAACATTTGTGGCATGGACTCATTCCATTCTGCACATAGTTAGATCCAGTTTTATTTAGCATGATGAGCACTTGTGTGACTGCAAGAGACTTAAGTCCATAATTTTGCATCGTAATCAGGTAAGCTTAGAGATTTGCTTTGTGATCTGTATGTTTTGTATATTCTCCTATTCATATTACAGTCACTCTGTAATGGACAGAAGAAATAACCCCGAGGAACAGGAGCACAGCCACAACCAAGACAACAATCAGATAAAAGAAATCTGAATCTGGAATAGAAATATAAATTTGAAGTGTCATCTCAGACATGACCTATTTCTTATGAAGATAAACTGAAGAAGCGGACTTGCAAGATTCTGTTACTCAAACAAAATAAAAGTAGTATTAACTTACATGTGTTTGTTTTCCATTTTTGGTCTATCTTGGAGGGCTCATATATCCACATTTCTTATCGGCAATTTTTGCAAGTAGAAAGAATACTATGTATGTGTTATGTATGTACACATATGTATACAAACCTCTACACACATGCTTGGGTTGTAAGAAAAGATTGATTGATTTGTTAGACATAAAATAGATCATGACATAAAATGAATTGCTTGAGCTATTACTGGTTAAGCAGATTGTCTTTTTTTCATTTGCAAAATTCCTCCGTAGGTGCAATTCCAGAAAACTTTTGAAAATTGCAAGTTTATATATGGCTGTGAAAAAGTCATTCGATATCAGCAAAAAATTATCATGCAGGATCCCAAGGCGGCTTTAGTACTAAGAGTCCTTAGATGAAGGGTTGAATAAAAAATAGTAATTATTTTATTTTGATTCAAGTCCTCTTGCTGTTTAGGGCTTAGTTTCTCAGGTCATTCTTCCAGCTGTTCCCAAGACAAAAAAACCTCTGACCTTAAAAATACTACTATAAATTCAGGGACAAAGAAGTTGTCGGGAAGAAAGCAGCACCAATGCTGGCAATTTTCTGAGCAGGCAGCTCTCTCAGCTTTTCAAGATCCACTGTAAATCATCTGTTTAAAATTTACCTCAGCTTCTTTGCTTGAACAAATGTCAGCTTTTATAGTTTATATTGCCAGAGCAGGACACCCATGAGGTTAATGGGACCTAATTTTAAATATAGAACAAAATCAATGACCTGCAATTTGTAATTCTGTATTTTAAGAAAGTTATGTTTGGAAAAGATTCTCTTCAAAAATTTTTACTTAAGATGGGCATGTTTCTTAATGTATTCATCTATTAAAAAACAGATTCTAGTTTTTTAATAATGGTGCTCCTGGAAGTCTTAAGGCAGTCTTCTAATGAATGGACATTTTAATAAGAAAAATGAGGTCTTTGGAAAATGCTTTTGACCCCAAAGATATTTAATTAAATAAAACAAAATTTTTCTTCCTTTTATTTCATTTTTTTCTCATTTGAATATTATATATCACATTAAAGAAATTGGTGGCTAGCTAATACCTATATTATCAGAGATTTTAAAACTGATTACTTTTCCATACATAAATAGGAATTTGAATGTACTTTTCCAATTTGATTATACCTTCCATTTGCTTTTTGACAGTGGCCAAGAAATTGTGTAGGCATAGCTATAATTGTTTGATTTACAAATAAATCTTAAAATGTAATTATTGGTAAAGATTATTTTTATATTTTTTGATTAAAGTGTCATGGTCTGGTCCCTATATGCACCTTACATAGTTGCATGCATGTTTATTCTAAAAGATTTTTTTTAATTAATAACTACAGTTCCTATCACTTTAAACTATATTCGTTGTTACAAGTAATTCAGCACCATCCCAAAAGAAATTAACAGATAGGGCTTTCATTTTTCTTCCCTTGCAGAAAACAGAAATGAAGGTTCATAGGCACACACAATTTTGCCTCATTTGTTTGCTGACATTTGTCTTCCATCAATGTCACCATTGCCATGAAGGTGAACATAGCCACAATGACTGTCAAATCTCCGAAAACCAAAGGACCGAGCCTGAACCAAGTAAGGAAGCTGAAGTTAAACAGAAATACTACATTGAAAAACTCTTTAATCGTTACGGTGAGAATGGAAAGTTGTCGTTTTGTGGCCTGGAGAAATTGATGATGAGCCTTGGCCTTGGAGAAATTAAAATAGTAGAAATAAATCATGAGGACATTGGCCACGATTATGTTTCTTACTTAGATGTACTAGATACACAAGAAGGAAAGCATTCTCATTCCCACAACCATCCTCATTCCCATGATCACCCAAGCTCAGAAAACCAGACTGCAAATGAAGGATCTGGCAAAAGGAGCCAGAAATGTGATCCAGTGAAAGAAGTTACAGAATCATCTTTGAAGCCTGATGGTACACATGCTCATGACTCTAATAATCACAGACATCACAAGCATCATCACCGCCGTCATGCGCATCGCCACATGGACCATAACAATACTCATCAGTCTCAAAATGATTCCATTAACGCCAGTGATCACGGGGAACCAAGTCACGAGCCTTCCTCAGAGACCAATACTACTCAGGAACAGCCTGAAAGAAAACAACATAAGCACTCTAAGAAATGGCAGAAAAAGAAGAACAGGGAAGTTTCAAGAGTTACAGCACAAGATTTTACCCTCAATCATGACTCAAATGAGCAATATGAACATAATCATGTCAATAAACATGGCCATCTGCATGATGTATCTTTCACACATGCACGTTTTCATGAACACAATAATGATCATTCAGCTACTCATGGACATCAAGATCCAAATCCTGCCAGTGGGGATGGGTATCGGCATACCAGCAAACGAGAGGCACCTGATAAACAAATCAGCGTGGGGAAGCATGCTAATCACAAGAACCATAATGAAGATGAGCATTCTTCTGAAGAGGTCTGTATGAGCCCAAAAAGAACATGATGAATCTTTAAGAAAAAGTAGCCTTCCCCAACTTTTTGCCCATCAGAGCCAGCTGTTGTGCTGACTTATGTATGTTAGAAGTTGCAATTCTATATAATTGTGTGTAACTAAGGAAGAACTAGAGAGCCAGTTTGGTGTAGGGGTGAAGGTATCAAGCTAATAACAGGGAATTGGAGATGGAGACCTTGGACCACCTAACTTTCTCCGTCCTAGGAAGCAGGCAAAAACACCTTGCCAAGAAAACTGCAAGGATTTGTCCAGTCAGTCTCTGAGAATTGGACACAATTGAATAAAAGGGGAAAACCTATATTAAGGGTTTATATAGCTTATACCAGTAGATAGATACTTGCTTTATAGGGCATTATTGAGCATAAATAATATTTAATAAAGAAGGGGAAATGCTTATCTACGTACCTATTTAGGTTATCCCAGGATAAATACAAGGTATTTTTATTTGTTTATAGGACCAATAGATTTTTGTACTTGATGAACTGGTTAACTTACTAATATTGTATGCTTTTTAAAACATGCAAGGCAAATATTTAGTCATCCTTGGCTGGTTAAAATGAAATGTCATTTTAGTCAGCCAGTGATGAAATACTGTTTACATTACTGTTCCCAGGAAGGATTTTAATATGCATAAACATTTTCTGAATTTAGGCTTAATCTTTTAAAATTCTCCGTAGATGTAATGAATAAATTCAGTTTCCACTCCAGAAAACACAATAGATAGTTTTCTCAACATTTCATATTCCCAGCTCCTTCAATAGATGATGGTTCATGGGCTAGGTAGCAGTTCAAATTACAGAAGAGACCGTGTAATTTTATGAGACTTGAGTAACTAAGTATGCCTTTAACGGTGGGACCTGCTTAATTGTCTTCCTAATTTGTTTGCAGTGCTTAAATGTCACACAGCTGCTAAGCCATTATGGTCTTCGCCCCAGTTCTCCAATTTCTCCAAGCTTGTTTACTTATCTGTGCCCTGCGTTGCTGTATCAGATTGATAGGCGACTTTGTATTGAACATTATGAAGACCTGCATTTTGAAGACTTGAACAAAGGAAACAATGTGTCTCTTGGGAATGTGGAGAAAACAGGTGCGTCAGGTGAGGAAAAATGTAGACTGAACAATTTGTGGGTTTTCAGATTAGTTAATGTAATTTCATTGGATGTAAATAGCCACACAAAATCTCCTTTAACTTGATCAGGCCAGTTCAAGTAATAGAAGCAAAGCAGCCTACTTTGTGAGTTGTTTGGAAGATCCACTTGAGTTCCTAGAGTCATCATTCTTCATATATTGTATCCACTGGTTGAACCCCATTTTCTTGCTTATATTGATATTAAAGGCAACTGGGCAATATTAATTCCCTATGTGGCTGTTTTTTTTTTAAAGACTTCCAGTTACTGTGCTATAACATGAGCAGTCCAAATTGTGGTTGATCCTAGAACACCCATTGTTGCCTATTTGCAGAATTATTCAGAGTATTCCCTATTATAAATGAATACAATTATAATACAACCTTTTGTACAGAACCATACCGCAAAACCTGAGGCTTTATTTATTAACCTCTGGCTAAAATGCAGACATGAAATTCCTGTATTTAAATATCTGCCTAAGACAGCCGCTTGGGAATGGCCTGTGGCTTTGTTATACATATAAGATTTCCTCCATGCAAATGCATGTTTGTTTTGTTTTGTATGGACCTGGTAAAAATCACTTCCGATGAACCCTTGTAGCACACACTCTACTGAAGAATTAAAGAGTAATTTTGTGAGTATCTCCTTTTAGTTGAGATAAAAACAGGCAGATATTTTGGTTGAGGCTGAAGACTATTCTCCATTTTATATTACTTTTAAAAAACATTCTAACTGAAAACATTTAATTGGAAATCTGGGATGCTGCAAAGTGAAACTTCATCTTTGTACTTTATTTCTGTGTCCAATAATGCTTTGAGCCCAGTTTTGTATCCCAGAGGCATTCTTAAAAGATAATTGATCAGGAGTTGCAATCAAATGTTGTATTTGAAACTCTGTTGAACTGATCCAGGAAAGAAAGGAAGATAGAAATAAGCAGCGTTGAGAATGAATGTCCTGGGAGATTAGATGGGATGGCAGAGTACAGCCTCTACTTTCATTTAAGGGCCTGGTTTCTGATTTGCCACATATATGTCATGTTCTCGGCATTGCATTTCGACTGGCCCGAAATGTTTGAAGCTTTATGTGCTACAAGGGCAATTATTCTTAAGAAAATTTTAAAAATGGGCAAGGTGTCGGTTGCAGCTATGCTGTTTAGTAGAAAGCTCTCTCCTTAAAGATAATCCAATTATTTCAACCCTATGGAATAAGGAAGAGGTTCAAAGAAGAGGTGATTCCATCTACTCAGTTATGGCCATTGAAACTTGGCCATAGAAGGCAAGGACAAAGTTGTAAAAATTGCAGTTTGGCCTGTCCATTTTATACTGAAAAGGACGTGAACCACCGAAAAGGACATGAAC